GATGGAGGATCACTATGATACCAGTGACTGATTTTCGTTTGGTGCTACTCACCAAATAAGGGGAAACGTCTCGCGGTGGGGGAAAAATTGCGAAGTACGACCTCGTCCCTCGGACTTCCTCCTCTGGTACGACCCCTCGCCCTTCCTCCCCCCATCTTGCACCACCTTTCCAGGCCCTCCCCAATTTTCTACCGATTCCGACCCCCCCCCCCCCTCCCCACCCCTGCGAATCTATCGTAAGCCTAGGACTATGTAGCGCAAAAAAAAACGGGAAAAGCCAAGCAAAGTGAACAACCCAAAACATCCCCTCCCCCAGAAGCGAATACGACCTCCGAACAACTACGACTCCCCTCGCTGGAGACAACGAATGTAGGACATGCCCTGATTTGTAACCGTTACCAATAGAGTCAGAGTAAGAGACGGCCTCGATCGGTGGACTGATACCGTTTGGACGCGCTCAGTTTTGGCTGCTGGCGGTATTTGTGAAGTGTTGTGACCGTAATTACACACAATCCTCCTGACTTCACTTCCCCACCCCTCAAGGCCGGGACTGAGCCTGGTATGAGGAGTGATTCCCTTCATTCTAAGCTCAGCCTTAGCAGAGCGCAGACCATCGTAGTGTCCTCCATTAGCGCCAGCGCCAAGAATGAATGTCATATTCGTAATCAGGATGTTAAATAATCCCTGGGTACAAGTTTTCGGCGGATTTGGTGATCTAGGCATTTTACAAATGAGCCGCCAGTAGCCAAAACTAAGCTCGTTCAGACGGCATCACTCCGACGGGGGAGGAGACAACTCCTCCCCCACCGGACTGAAAGCGTGAGTTGCGAAAGTCGTGTCCCAACCTGTGGTTACTTCTGTAACTCAGCATTCTTGTGTACATATTCTTTTTCTAACCTTCACTACCAGACAAGTATGGTACCGAATTAGAGTCGAGACTCGAACCCCAGCCCTACGCATGTGGTGAGCAGCACCCATGGACAAATGCCGAATCTGGATAATGCCGATCATAGTTCAACACTCGCTCAACGCTCAGAAAAATTTTTTTCTAAAAACTCTGTACACAGGAAAACAAAATTAACAATAACAACAACAATTAACGATCGGTCCAAACAACAAAATTACTCTTCTGCTTTCCTTTTAAGGCCTCGCATGTATTCCTCCACCTCTTTCTTCTTTATCTCATTCATCTTTCGCTCCACAAACATGGACGTTGACGTGGACATCTAATAATAGCATACTTAAGCGAGATGATTCCGCCTACTGCTTTGCAAAAGATTTTTTGTGAATGGAGTTTTGCACTTTTCAGTAAGGAATGCTCAATGGAAGTTCACATGGGTTCTGCAGCGCTCAACCTCAAATACGCGACTAGCGCCCGCAAATTTGGCCAATACGATTACCATCAGAGGCGGGCGTCTCCCTTTTCTCCCTTCTAGATACCAGCGCTTTGACCAATAGGCACTGTGGAGCGACGGAGCCACTTATATCAATACTGAAAAAGCTGACGTGTGAGGTCACAATGACCGTAAAATGCTGTACAGCCTAGGAAGTGCAGAGAAAACAGAAAATCGACGCGGTTGAAGGGATCACGTTCAAGCTGTCCGCAGCTAAATAATATATGGCGCCCTGAAACTTCATCTCCAACTTGTTGTTATCCTTGATTTTTAGAAAGAAGCCCCATTTCAAACGCACTATAACAATAAGACACATTTCACGATAACTAGTCGAGGGCTGTGAGATCCAAATGGGAATGCATAGATGCCAGCTGTTTCACTACTGAATAAATGAAGAAATGTGGAAAGCATAAGGACCCAGAAGAGGCAGGTGTGCGAAGAAACAAATCACTGCTGCGCTGGTGACAGAGCAGAGACAAATGATGAGAGAACAGGAAGACGAGCGAGACGATAAGATCGGTCCGTTACCTGGTGAACGCAACGCGTTTACGTGTCTATCTAATGATACAGGCTCGCTGGCGTATCTAACCAACGAGGGGGCATCTTCATCTGCAGCGTTCTTCCAGCTTAGCTTGACCGCAGCACCCTGGTCACTCACAGTCGAGCCGGGAAAGAGGGACAACCTCTGAGGTTGCATATCTCACCACTTGCACAGGAAAGTAATTCTACATATTAGTTAATCGCAGAATGTGCCGCTAAAGAAGATATGTCAGATTGAAGAAGATTCCGTCAAAGTCATACTTCTGGAAACATCTAAAGGTTTCCTGGTGCACATTAGAATTGCCACCGCCCAGCAACCAAGTTTTCTGTACCTTCCCACCGAGAAAGTGTTCGGAAAGACTAAAGTGAAAACTGCAAGAGCGCAGACGAACCAAGAGGGAACGTGACCCATTCTGCTGATATCCCTTTTGACAACACTGACATCCGATCAATCTTGAAAGCGCCGTACGATTGGTCAAAGCCACGAATCAACGTTATTATTATTATTACAAGCTGCTTCACGCCTTCTATGCCAAATGAAGAAGGCAAGAAGTGGAAAGCGCGCAGTCCCACTCAACAAGTCTCGGGCGAGGAAATTTACAACCATTACGGAAGCTTCACTGAGAATTTGTATTGCTAACACCACTACGAAAATCGGAAAAAGGACGCAGCATAATGTTGAGATTCTTCAATTTCCACACACCGTCACTCCCAGAGTATGCTAATTCAACAAGAAATTGACTCACAGAAAGCTGAATTGATTCAGCACATCTATGGTCATTCGTGTTCAAGCCTTCTGGCACCAATGGTGTCACAATTACAAGGGCCTAAATTAAACGAAAATGGTGAGTAGTATTCAACACAAGGACAGGACGCTGGAAACGTTACCTTTCTCATATTGGTTAATGTTCGATTGAAACCAATGAAAGTGCATGCATCCATCTGAGATTCCATCTTTACACCAGCAGCTGCATGATGTGCCTCAGGACTTCCTTGATAAATCACTGCAGAAAAAAAAGCCTTTTTCTCACTCAACGCTCGACTTCGGACTCAAACAGTTAAGGTGTACATGTGCAGCATTTACACACTCACAATATTCACAGCCATATGGAAGTCCAGAGCGGACACACCATCCATTATTCGAAGATACCGAGGAGCATACGTGGATTTTTCGAAGCGAAGGACCAGGCCGAGGAAGTCGGTGAGTTCGAGCAGACAGTATACCTCCTCTGAGACTAAGGAGTGAAATTCTTCGGGCGAGATACTGGCGTGTACACCAGTGGAATTCACATGGTACTTAAAGATGAAGCCACGTTTATACCTTGCGACTTGAGAGAGGAGAAGTGACAATTCGATGTTGCAGGAGAAAGCACGCCAAAGAAGTGGGTAAGTACTGATCGACTGCGGTTGCTAGATCGCTAGAGGGGAGAATAGGACAACCACCTAATTGCGGAAATGCGCACTTGGTCGGTTCCCCACTTATCCGAGCGCGCATTCTCTCAGAGCATCAAATCGCGGATTCTCCGCTTCTCCTATGTCGCCAGATCCAACCTATACTACTGGTTGACGGGCATTCACTCGAAAAGGGCAAATCACCGCCCCCCCCCCTAATCGCGACGTTTGAACGTGGTACTGCGACGAATGGCTGTCCTCCCATTTCGAGGCACAACAGGAGAATGCACACGATCTCGTCCCAAACCGCATTCCTACTTTGCGATCCGATCACTTGGATTGCGGTGGCGATTGCATTACGCCATAAGATCGCAAACTATGGACGCAGTCTCGGGAAGCTGAGCAGCGGATTTCGTCGCGTCAGCTCGCAATCTTCTCTAGTAGCACCAAAATTTCAGTAAACCTTACCTGGGGTGAGTTCCTTCTTGTTCTCAGATACCACCAACACATTCATATCGATTGATAAGAAAATGGTCTCTTCAGGACTGAGATAAAGACGTTCATGAGTTGGTTTCCTATCTAGAAGAACTTAGAAACTCTAGGCAGAAACTGGAGAAGCTTGAATTTGCAGGAATACTCACCCCTCCACACTCCTTCCGGGTCATTGAGCCGTTTTACGATGTTATCACTCTCATCTGCTTTCTCCAGCAAAAGTCTATGATTGATTCGATCAATTCGCTCATTTAAGTAACATCCATAATAACCCTAGAATTGAAAAGCAGTATCAATCGACAATCACCAGGGAAGTTTCATCAAAGCTTGGAAACCCACATGCGTATAAATATGGCTGGAGCTCCTCTCGTCCGGCACGATTATCGAACCTCCATATATGATAGCATAACATACATTGACAGGCACATTATCTGGTGGTTCTTCTCCACCATATTTCTTCTCATTTTTGAGGAGATTCATCTTGATCACCTCCGCATCTGAAAGGACTCGAGTGTTCAGCTTGGCGACTGCGGTCTAGAACTTCTTAGGTACTCCCACGCTCCGCGATCACAAATCCGGGAGCGTACCTTTGACCGTTCGAGAAGATTAAATACGTATCGATGCTAAGCATTAAAAAGGCGATCACGCCGGATCTATACCTATCAGATCAACTCGAGCGACAAAAACGTCGATTAAATTCGAAGAAACGAGGTACAAACGGGGTTCTGTCATTCAGAGTGAAAACAGGCGACAGGAAACCACCGTACAACCACGGCGTTCACAGAATTGGGCACCGGGCGTGGCAACAGGCGGTGGGCGGAGCATCGGGTTCGTCACAGCTGCCCGGCGACCTTATCATGTGTTTTAAGGCAGCGTTTTTTCGACACCCTTGTGCTTGCGGTCTAGACTATCTTGTGCGAAGATAGCTCATCATCGGCAATCAGATTAAGAAGCGTGATTCACTTTAAAGCACTCTGCACTTGCACTCCCGTCGATGATCATTGTTCTGATGCGAATGATGCATGCAACACATTTGCAAAAACGTAGAATGAACCTATGCTCTGAAATACTGAAGGTTATTTCAAATGATCGCGCCTTCCCGGGCATGAATGCAGGGGTGGTTCCTAATATCAAAGAGTAGCGATAACTCAAACACATAGTTAATAGAGAGAGACAGAAAAAGGAAATACTAACGACCGATCGGTATGGAACTAAGGGCTGGGCAAAGAAAATAATAGAGAAGAGGGGTGGGGTTTTTGAAAAAAAGGAAAGCTGAAGAGCAGGACACTCCAGCCGAATAAGAAACCGATTCGAAAAAAAAACAAAGGAAAGAGCGATCACTGGGGGCCTTACGGAACAAAACTGCAACATAGAAAAGAGAGGCACAAGGTAAAGATATAAAAAAACTGCAATATACTGGATACAATAAACTTCTATAACGGAAACGTGTCAATAATCAAACAGACGACCACAGTAGCTGAAATACTACCAACGGCTAGCTAAGGAACATGTAAGGAAATCAGATACAATATCATGAAAAGAGATTGAAGGGGGACGCGCATATACGTAAACGCAAAGTATGTGACCTCCGGAAAATGGAAAGAACTTAGCAACAGAGAAAAACCTGCCAAGGCCGCAAGCTGCAGAAAAGACTCAGAAAATCGTAATTGAAGCAAAGGTCACTTAAAAAAGCACACAGATTTCCACACTCTGGAACATAACTGAGAAATATGCAACTTTCCAGATAAATAGGTCATGTAGGATGCCACTAATAATTAAAAACATGTGCACGACATTTATGTCAACTTTACTTCTTGAACAACGAAAAACAACTTTCTATTGAACTATGAGAACGTGACAAAGCTTTCAGTTACATACTAATAGCTAACAAAAAACCAAAGTTTCATGTGCAATCATATGAAACACTTCGGTAAAAACTCTATAGTCGTATGCAATATAGCGCTACGTAATCTGATCTCTACACTGAAATCATATAGAATGAAATCAAATACATCTCCTAACTTCGAGGAACACTTCGAAATTACACAAAACAAATTGAGCCTATTGATCATTCATAAACATCCTCACGATCAGCAATGTACTGGAAAATATCCCGCGGAGTTTTCAGCCTATCAGCGTCTCCATCAGGGATTTCAAATCTAAAAAGCACATATTTAAAAAGGAGGAATCAATTTCATCGCGTTGAACTGGAACCAATAATGATGGCCATATTTCTTGTGAATATAAAGCGCTACCCAATAAAACTCATGGTGATTACTTACTATTATACTAATTCCAAAATAGTTATTTCCCTGAGGTTCTAATAGTATGGCCTCCTCACCACTGCGAAGGGAGAGTGCAAGCAATTTTGCAATTCAATGGTGCAATTACTGTGGAAAATTAGCAATGCTAGCTAACTTACTATGCTTAATGTCTAATTAAATGATCACAAATGTTCCCTCCCTTTCCTGATTACAGTCTCTTCTAGAATAACAACGACATTATGCACAGTACAGTCGTGTTAGTTATGGATGACGGGCCTGTGAGGCAAGCAAACTAAGTTTTCACCAATTGCTGAAGCGTGTAAGCGACAAGACTGTAGCAAATCATTTGCATCAGTCGTTTCCCACCACTTGTGGTCCCTTACTCGT